CTAATCACCTAGTTTGCCAATTTTGTCTGCTGTTTGGTGCTGAGCAGCTATCATTCAGTGGGTTGTTTGGAACTTTGTCTCTGTAAACAGCTGCCTGCTGCAAATGCTGCTGAAATGACACTTTGAGAGCAGTGAGGGTAAATCAACACAGTAAAGTTGTGGGTTGAAGAGAAAAACTTTTTAAATCTATATTTTGTGGTGTTTTGTTGCTGTGGTGTGAAATTTTGTACATGGAAGTTAAGCTATAGAGAACCGCATTTTTAAATCAATGTTACTGAATTGAAATTAAATGGGATTAATGCCCCTAATGCTACAATGCAGGAGGAGCCAACATGGTGGCCAAGAGTGCCTGGTCACCTGCAGGGAGCCAATGAGTTGCCTGCAGGGCATGTTCTATAAATAATTACGGTCAAGCCAGCCGTCACTCATCTCTCTATGGTCACATCAATCGATGCTGCGACTGTAGCACACTCATATGCTGACATTTATTGTAAATGCAATTAAATGGCCCAGATTGAGCTGATGATTGGAGCTAGCAATGGATTTGGCAAAGTTAGCAGAAGGATACACATGTGACTATATCCAGTTTTCAAAATAAGGTGTTAACAAAGGGTACATAAAGAATACATATATGAAAATAAGAATAATTTGATTATATTCTCAAGAATGTTCAATTTCAAGATAATCCAAAGTTTAAGTCCCATATTTGTGCCTCGAAATAGTGACATTTCTGAATACCTGACATCTGTAAAACCAATAAGGTGTTTACAGATGTTTTCTTTTGAAACATTACAAAGGAGCTTAGGAACTTAGAACTTTTATATTGTACAAAGATGTAAGAAATGCGACTTTGTATGACTTTAAAATGTTGAAACAAATTAATTGTTGAGTTCAACAGAGAAATTATTTAACTTCCATGTTTAAAGTATATCTGTTTTCAGATTATCTAAAGTATTTAATCAATACAATAGTTGTAAAAAAAACTTCACAGCACATTTATGACCAATGGAGTTGGAACATGAAAATGATAAAAACTGAAAAGACAAGATTTTAACATGACAGAAGCAACATGCACGTTTGGGTTGAAAACTGATTTAAAAAATGTGTTTTGCTTTTTTTTTTCTTTACTTGGATGTTTGATATTTACTGTACAGAATGATGTATGTCCAGAGCTTGCATGAATTTGATACTTGACTTGCATGATGGACTTCTAAATGATTGGGATATAACATGAGCATTCAGTGAAGATAAAATTACACTCACTGTATGGCTCCAAGGTAAATTAGTGAGTGAAATCTAACTGATTAACTTCAGCCAAATATCTTACTGCATTCCATATATATATATATATATATATATATATAACACCTATGGATCTGATATATAAAAAGAGCGGGACGTGAGGAGCACCGAGAGTGGTACATTTACATTACAAGAACACTATCTTACAGCCAATGTCATCCAGCTTTCACACAGTAGAAAAGTTTCCTGGAGCCACAGTCTCAACATAACCAAACACAAGCTGGCCAAATTAGGCACAACATCAACAAGTGATTCTCTCTGCGCCTGGGCCTTTAAGGTTTCCCCGCGCTGTGCGGCCATCAGCCGAGGGTGAACTAAAGAGAACATTAATGAACATTAGGAGAGAAAGGCCTGTTCTTCCACAGGAACAGTCCTGTGTTTGTGAGGTCACAGAAGTTACCGTGGTTACTCCCAGGAGGGAGCGAAGACCGTGCGTTTGTTAATTGTTTCTCGGTGGGGAAATGAGATTAGTGGTTGAATGGTGATGTGAGAGAGTTTTCAAAGAGCCATGCTGCATTAAGTTTGAATTTGCTAGCACACCATGCTATCCTGTGGGTCCAAGGGTTCTGTGCTGAACTACAAACTAGTTTCATAATACACATTTTACTGCTTCACTGTCTCAGTGAGAATCTTACACGTGTAAATCCACATGTAGCCCACATGAACAGTGGTGGAAGAAAAATTTGAGATCTAATACTTAGGTAAAGTATGAATACTACGGAGTAAAACTACTCTGCAACAAGGTTAAGTCTTGCATTCAAAACTGTACTAAAAAAAAGGTACAAAAGAATCAGCATCAAAATATATTTACAGTACCAAAAGTAAAAGTCCTGCATGATGCAGAGTGGTCCTCTTCAGACTTCATATACATATCACTTTAATGTTGCAGCTGTTAAAGTTGAAACTCATTTTAATTACTTTAGACACTGCTGTGTATTTCACCTGTAAGAATACATAATAATGCAGTAGTTGCATGTATTTTTTATTAATAATCTAAATCTGTAAACTAACTTGAGTTTTTTAATAAATGAAGTGGAGCTAAAAGTACAATATTTCTCTCTGAGATGTAGTATAAAGTATCATAAAATGGAAATACTCAGGTAATATACAAGTATGTTAAAATTTTACTAAAGTACAGCACTTGAGTAAATGTCCTTAGTTACACTTTATCACTGCCCATGAATTAAAGTCCTGTAACACAGGTCAGGCTACCAAAATATAGAATTGATAGAAATGATAAAAGTCTTGCATTATACATCGTCATTAGGCTACTGATCACATGTTTTCTAGCAATGTGATACTGAATTGTTTCCTTCAACCCACTGTATACTGTGATAAGCCACGACCCTAAAGAGGATTAAACTGCAAGAGAAAGTTATGAATTGATGATCTTTACTAATCCCCACTGCATAGGAATTTACTCACAGACATTTTAGCCACTGATTGCAGTCCAACAGTTCTTCATATCTGAATGACAAAATTTGTTGTTTGTTACAATGCATTGATATTATGTAAGGTAGAACATTGTCAAGCACCTTCCAACCTTTGCTGCCTAGAGAGGACGGTCTTTATATATATATAAACCCCCAAAAATGTGCCTACTAAACACAAAGAACACGAAGTTTGAAAGGACCAGTGTGTAAAATTTTGAAGTGGCCTTGAGGTGCATCTGTGCCACCAAATTCAGGCCGCCACTTAAATGTAAAAATACGAAAAGCCGTCTCGAGAGCTAGTGTTTGGTTTGTCCGTTCAATGTGGTGGGCTCCGTAGAATGGGACCTGCTACATATGTAGATATGAAGGGCTCATTTTAAGCCAACAAAAACATAACAAATCTTAGTTTCAGGTGATTAAATGTGGAGCAGGTGGATTAAAACGCAGGAGACTGCAGGCAACAGGAACTCGAATAAATCACATTTTATTCAAGGTTTAAGTAGCAAAAAGCAAAGTTAAAGATCACATATAAAAACCAAGGATCTAATAGAGACTGAATTGAAAACCTGGACTTGAATACAAACTAATATGACGAGGGGATGAAGTGCAGGTGGAGAAAAAGGTGAAGAGGCTCAGCTGAGGAGAATCAGGTGATTAGACAGGAGAACAGGCAAGAAGCTGATTGGGAAAAACTTTGGAGTAGAAAAGAACTAATGAGACTGATGCAGGGCAGGTGTGAAGATGGGCAAATGAGGGAGAAGCAGCACAGGAACACAGGACGGGAAAAACACAGTTAGCAGAAACCCCCAAACTCAGAAAACACAATCATCTTATAAATAAACTGACCAGAGATAAAACAAAGACAGAATAATTAATAAAGGCAACTTAAATGATTCATAGTCTGTTACAGATACAACTCAGTCAAGTCTTCTCAAAGTCTGAAGTCATCAAGACACAGATCAGACAGTGACATTATACACTAACAAAAAGCTAATCATAATTATTATTTTCTATTTTTGCCAATAGACCCCTCTAAATCCAACACACTGACAGGACCATTAACTTTTTGAATGTAAAGTAATATGTCAGCTTTTCAGTGCTTTGGTCTTGACAAACAATTTCAGTATACCCCTACTCACATTGCCACCCTACTAACAATAATTATTTGAGTTAGAAAGGTAAAAAAAAACAAGTTGTCTGTTTAAGTAAACCCTACATCATAGTATCTGACCTCAGTTAATCCCAAACCAAACAGTAAAAAGGAGTGGAGCCAGTTAGTGTAGTGAACTATGAATATTTAGGCACTGGAAGACTTTGTGTCTACTTTTAGGATGTTAATCCATGATTCATGCGGCTCCACTGTGTTCCTCTCAGAGGGGAAAGAAAAGGTTGAGCTGAGCCGTAATTTCATTACAAAATCACTGAGATGATGAAAATCAGGTAGATGAGCGGTAACAAAAGAAATGTGGGGTTTCATTAGAGCAGATAAAGAGTCATCTCTTGACATATCATGGTAATCTTTTGTAAATGGGAAAACCTATTTTACTCATTGTAATTCTGTGATTTAATTAACTTTAAAAATTCTCACAAAAAGAAAAGTTTTCAGTAATCATCAGATGACAGGCTGAGAAGAATTGATGAAGTAGAAATTAAACTGTAAAGTGGATCAAGAGCACAACGAATTATCAGATGCCTAAAAAGGTTCTGAAACTTTAATTGGTCTATGAATATCTGTTTGAAGACGACTTTATGCCAAGGATGATTATAGCTGTTCAGACTGTTGGTTGTTTTTTACATTAAAGGAATACTTCACTAACAAAATGATAATTTGCATATCAATAACTCACCCTTTATTACATTGAAAAATGGAGTAAAAAAAGTTTTTGTCACATGCCTTTTACGTTAAACGAAGAATCCAAAAACTGAAAAAATTCTTGATGAAATGGGGAAAAAGGGGTCTGCCTTCAATAGCAAAACTTTGTCAAAGCACCCATTGAGAAACTCTCACGAAACTCATGCAGCAAGTTGTGTTACAGCTTGTAAACACATGTTTTAATATAGTTTTGCTCAGAAGTTTTTTATCTGTTTTTGGAATTTTCATTCAATGTAGAGACATGCGAAAAAAACAAAGTTTTCCTCACAAATTCAACGTAACACAGACTGATTTTTTTTTATATAAAAATGATATATTTGTGGTTGATGTATTCCTTTACTTTGTCATCCATTTATGTACGTACTGTGTATTTATGCCTACTTTTCCTTCAGGTGTGGGTTGACGCTGGAACCCAAATCTTCTTCTCTTATGCCATCTGTTTGGGCTGTCTCACTGCTCTGGGAAGTTACAATGCCTACAACAATAACTGTTACAGGTAAGATAAGACTATATATATCTATATATATATCTATATATATATCTATATATATATAT